AAACTCGTCGCCTTTTAACACTAGAAGAATATGAGAGGCAGGGCGCTGAGGAAACGAGAAAAGCGATGGAGAAACTTCGCAAATTTTGTCGAAGTCCGAATGCTAATGCCTGGAGAATAACTTCAGCTATTAAAGACCCGAAAAGGTAGGTGTGGTACTTCTTTCATTTGCAGTTGCAAAAGATAAGCTGATTGTTGCTAATTATGTTAATTCTCATTTGTCGTTTTGAATCCATCTGATGTTGCATAAGTATATTCGCTTTTGTTGAAGTAGATTAGTGATTAAGAGAAGGAAAATAGATTTTATTAATGTGATTTGGCAATTTACGTAAACGTGTTTCTTCTTTCACTTAAACGTTACTCTACATCTAGGTTTGCAAGCTTTATTGAGGGTTCTAGTGATCACGTGACTCAAGAAGAGATTGATTTATATGAAAATGAGAGCAAGAATGCCGGACAGTTGTCAGATGATAGCGGTGAAGACGAGTTACTTTTCAATTCACGCAATCGCGGACTGGAGTTGTCTGGACGTAATTCAAGGTTATTGAAAACTTCTATTTTTAGTAATGTCATTAAGTAATAGTGAAGTTCAGTTTTTTTGGGTTAGTTTTTAGGTAATTGTTTGTGCACTTTATTTAGTCCTGTGAGGAGTCGGCTGTACTATTCTGGAGAGTTCGCACACTTTCATGGTGACAATGGGCCGGAGCTAGCAGATTTTGGAGAGGATGATGGAGAAAATAACATTTTAGAAAATCCTCACCCTGATTGGGAAGAGGACGCACGTAATTCTTCGTTCGGGAGGCTCAGAAGGTTGTTGTTCGTACATTAGTTGGTTCTTCAAAAATATTCACGAGGTTTACTTTGGAAGTGAGATTTGATTTTTTTGTTTTATTACTAAGTTTCAGTGGCTATATGAGGCAATTAAGCCATTCAGAAAGTGGGTATAATGGGTTATTAATGCCAGCTCCTCGTATGCCCAGGTCTGATCCCGATCAGCTGTGTTCATTGTAAGCGTTGAAAATAATTGAGTCACTGTGAGGAAGTTAAGCGGCTCTTCACCAAAATTTTTATTTTTATATGTTTTTCTTTTAGTTATCAACTGACACCGCAACAGGTCTCCATCTACAGGTTTCTCCGAGAAAAGGGAATGGGGCGGGGCAACGACTATATTGGAGAGAGCGAACATTCCATCAAACAAGGTATTCCGGAAGAGTATTTTGACGAGTATGAGTTTGATGAGGATTTGGCAAGGCTTGTTGAAGTTGATCTGATTCAAGAAAGCATACTTGACGGGTATTGGGGAGTCAAATAGGGTTTTTAACAACTGATTGTATTATATGCTTTTCGTTTTTGTTTTTGTGGAAGAAAGTGATCTTGATCCGGGTATTTTATTATGATCGTTTCTTGTCTTTATCTTTCGAGATGCTTGGTTATTTTTTTCAATTGGTTTTCTATCACAATTAGGTATTTTTACTGGAATATAATTTTTGAATAGTATTTTGTTAACTAAAACAATGGCGGCATAACTTTTTTCAAGACTTTTAAGAACAAAAAATAGCTTGTGTTTTTAATAGAAACCGAGCTGATAATTATAAAGAAGTGCAGGCATCAAAGAACAAATTTTCTTTGAGACAACAGAGTTTGATTGAAGATATTGTTTTGTCATTAGCATATGGTTTTTATCTCCAGTCAGTGAAAAAAGTTAGGTCGGCTTATTTTGCCTGATAAAAAACAAGCAGTGTAAAGTAGTGGTTTTAGTTATGTAAAGGAATCGTATGAAGTTCACTTCTTTTTCAAGCTTATTTAATGCTCACTGTATATTTACTGGTGTAACTAAGTTCTTCACTGTTCTCGTCTTTTTTCTGAAGTTATGCTTTCCTGTAGTTTTCCAGGAAAATCTTTGATTTTGAAGGGTTCCATTTTGTACATCAAATTCTTTTAGGCAGGCACGTTTTAGTCGTTGTAGCTTTTGAAAACATGGGTTTGGGAGGGGAATACTGACAGCGTTGGTGATTGATAGGGAATTTTTGTTTTTTGAATTGTTGGAGTCGGTAATTGTAAATGCATTTTTTTTCTGTAGTGATTTCTTTTCTCAATACCTGTTTTGTCTGCAACTTTTACTGCTGTGTAGCAAGTTTATATTGTCAAATCGGTTTCTAGTGAAGCCACAAGTTGTTTTTTTTTCTCCTGAAAATTCTGGTATTCTGTGGTTATTGTTTTGGATGCAACTTTTATTTTGTTATGCTATTTTTTTTGTTTCAGAAATTGTCTTTTGTGCCATAGTAGCTTTGTCATGCATAAGTATTCATTGAAAATGTGTTGCCTTATGTTGATGTGGTGTTATCTTGCCTTTCATTAAAAATTCCTGAATCGAATGTTCTGGATTTTTTTCACCCGAATTTCAAATCTAAATCTTTAATGCAGCGATCATGAAACTCAAAGAGCGAAAAAGTAGGGTAACGGTGTTCTTTTGGTAATTCTTGCTCAGGTGACGGTCACTTTCGTCGCAGAGGTGTCTGGGAAAAATAATAGCCACAGTTGCAGTAAAATTCAATTGAGGTTAAGTTTTGTCTTTGTTTTTTTTCTTTTTTTTTTT